CCAACTAGATTCACTAACCAATCAGAAAAGTTGCTGTTGAAGAAAATCGAAGCAGTTTTACTGTCCTAAAAGGTGATGACAGACACAAAAAAAAAAAAAAAAACACATCATTGTAAAATCAATACATCCATCGTTCCACTCAGAATCTAAAATGTATTTTATGTCTTATGTATTTTAATGTTACCGAATTGACATTTTTAAAGCATATTTAAGCCTGCGATAGGCGAAGATACAATTTGATAGTTGATATTTCTGGAGAAGGCTTAAGCCATTATGACCCCTCCACCTAGCTAGGACACTGCGTCATAGTAAAGTAGTAAAGTAGTACCTATACCATATTAAACATTTATTTAAATTATATTTATATGAAGATAGTGATTGCATAAAAGTGGACAATAAAGTGCAATCAAACTATAAATATTATATTCGTGTTTTGTACGAAGCTCGAGTGTAGTATCTAGGATTTTTTTAAATTGTATTTTTAGGTTATAGGTATTAAATAAGAATTATTCATTATAAAACAAAACATTCTAGTATTTTATATTTTTATGGAAATTGTAAACATTTAATAAAACAAATTAAAATACCAGATTTATGATAGAATGTGCAAAAATTTGATGTAAATTTTTAATTAAAACAAAAAAAAAACAAATTACAAAATATTATAATATTGTTTTACTTAAATGATAATAATAATAGAAATCAAGAAACAAACATACTCACAGACTAAGTCAGTACAATTAAAATTTAGCGGTAAAAATAAAATAAAGCTAACGGTTTATAATATGACTATAATAATGATTGGGAACATAATTTAGAAGACACCGATGGGCATACTTCACAGTCATGGCTGTTGACTCTTCAAATTGCATACACCTGGGCAAGTGCGAAACATGGAAATAACATTGTATTGTGTTATTTTGCGGGAGATTTTCGAAAGTCAGTCAAGATTATCTGTTTCACCCAACGACAAGCTTTGAACCTGTCGAGTCCCAAATATTTTACAATATTCTTTTTCTGAAACAAAACAAAAAACTGCAACGATTAGCATAAAAATACTGATAAAAAAGTATAGCGCAGACACGTCCAATTCACGTCATGTCGTTGTCTGCTTCTAACGCACAGACAAATACTATTTCAGACAGTCGAGGAATTCATAACGTCAACAACGGTTATTTATTACCGTTGAACATAGGGCGCGCGTATAGTACCAGGTGAGCAATATAATATATTACCTATACTATATACTATTTTTTTTTAATAAAACCTACGAATATAATAGTTGGTGATGGTAATAATAATAATAATAATAATAATAATAATAACAATAATAATAATAATATTATAATGTATTAATATACGTTTATAGTAATTTCTCCACAAGAAAACAAAATAGAAGCATGCGACGTTCGACATCAACGACGTCGTCTGCTTTAGCGTTGCTGGCATTTCTATTTTTTTTGAATATACTACAGGTAATAACCATATTAATAATAGTATACCTAATAAAAACGACACACAACTGATCGGCTTATTTTATAACATAATGTATATTATGTTTATTATATACATATTATATATATTATTTGTAAAAGGCATATTAGAGGTGGACATTTGAAGTCTTATTTTTTTGATTTGGGCTTTAGAGATCCTTGGATGAAAACAAACAAGGACCAGTGTTGATGACGCGCATAATAAAGCAGACAAAAATACGACCGCGCAATGATTTCATTGAAGACAAACAGTTAACTATTGAAACTACTACTCGTGACAATATTATGGTTACCAAATTTGAAAACATTTATAATAAGTAGGTACTTTAAATAAAAATTACAGTAATGAAATGACATTGTGTATACTTACTGGTGTTAAATTCTAAGGTGATTAAATTTAATCCGTTGTTTTGTTTCTTGATTTCTTTATTTTACAGTATTGTTACAACTCAAACATATGTAATATGAACTATGTATATTTTTTATACATAATAATGAATTCAGTTAACCTAATAAAAGTTGTTTAGCAAAGGCACACAGATAGTTCTTAAATAATTTTTTTTCAATTATAAACATTTTAATATATACATTTAAAAATAATAAAAATAAATATTGTTTATTAAGTTAAGCACATTATAACATATTGAAATGGTCAAATATATTTTGTTTGTGTTAACTTGCTTTCACCTTGATCCCGGCCTAACATCCGATTCCAGTCTGTTTGCCCAACAACAAAGCCTATAGCACGCATTTTTTCTTGTTCGCGCCTTTCTTCCATATCAGCCCAGCGAACCTACACAGAAGTATGTATTAAACAACTAAGTAAGTGAAAAATATATAAAATGTATAAATTATGCAAAGTTTTTTTCTGTGAACACTGAGTAATAATATGATTTTAAAGTTTTAAGTGCCATGTTAGTTGATTAGAAATTAAGTCTAATTGGTCCTTTGAAGCGGTTAATTACTTTCAAAATATAGTCTCACAGTTAAATTAGAATTGTGTGAATAACAGAATATAAAGATGAAAGTTATTGTGATATGGATTTAAGAATTTCAAATTATAATAATAGTAGTAAAAAAAAAAATCTTTTTGTTTAAATCAGTATAGTCTAAATGTTCAGTACACTGACATTTCTTTTGGCCCTTGGATTAACATGGACATTTAATAATTTAAAAATATATATTAAAAAGTTACCACATTGAGAACCAAAATTAGCATAAACGTACAAATTAGAAAGTACTTATATGTACAATTAATACATAATTAGGTATTAGTTTGTTATCACCCCGCTACTGTGCGTATGTTTATATCATTTTTAGATTTTTAGTTACACTATGTAATACTTATGAGAGGCCTTGTTTTTTAATTTTCAATTCTTAGCTATAAAAATTGAAATACTTTTGAACTGCTACAATAAACAACTTACGAGGAACCTTGCATTACATTTTCAAGCATTTTAATTGAGCTTAAAATTAACTATCAACGTTGATGGAATAAAAAAATGATAGCATGTTACTCAATATTTTATTCTTTTATAAGGAAAATCTATGATGGTTCATAAATATAGTTTTGTTAATAAGTAACCATGATAAAAAAAAGCCTTATCAATAATTTCATGATACTATTAATATGAATGTATGATTGGTTTAAACTGACGAATTACAATTATGAGACTTTTGTTATTTGGTTAAAGTTATATATATATTATATGTCATAATACATACCCTTTTTTTACCATCATTTAAGACTACTTGTTCGTTAACGGAGTAATTATCTTCAGGTATTTGCAGCCATTCTTTTATTGAGCTTTCTGGCTTTTTCTTACATAGCCCATCCAATCTTTCTGTAATATATTTCTCATTTGAGTATAAAAATTGAATGTTCAATAATTGTAAAAAAAGTAAGTTTGAAGTGTATTAACTAATGCTTTTAATATTTTTTTTTGAAAACAAAAATCATATTTAAGTAAAGAAAAAAAAAAATAATGAAACGTACTCATCTTTTCTTCTTGAGGTATAGTATCAGTCCATTTGCAAGACAATAATTTCATGACGTCCTGTAGAAATATTAGCAACCAAAAAATAGTATAATATAAATGGTATCTACTTGTTTAACAGTTTTTACAAGATGCTATGTTTTCAACAAAAATTATTATATATTATGTTTATACAAATAAAAATAAACATTAATTTGAAACAAATTGTAATATTTTGATGAAAATAAGTATCTTGGGGGTGTATACACGAGTGGTTAAATATAATTGTTTACACATCCAAGTGATGATTTTTTTATTATTATTATTATTATTATTAAAATAAGCACGGACAGTTGATGCAATTTGTTATTGTTATTTATTGTCATTTATCTTTAAGAAACTAGAATATAAATATACTAGCTTAGTAAAACATAAAACTAGTATAGTAATCATGATTTTTCTTCTCCAATAATATTTTTTCCACTACACAATAAATGTTTTATTTTTAAATAAACTGAAAAAATATTAGTTACCTCTTCTTCAAATTCAACATTTCTATTTTCATCAGAACTTTTGTCATCATTGGTTTCTTCGTCTTTATCCACTTCCATTTCAACATCTGAGACGTCTTCCATTTCCATCTAAATTAATAATACATTTGTATTTAATATATCCAGAGTAATATGATTTTATATTAGGATTTCATTACCTCGCTTTCTGAAGGTGAAAGAAGTAATGACCGTATATCCAGCAGTATTTGATCAGAAGGCGTTTTAACCCAAGATCTCATTATACTATTAATATCATGGGCTGTTCTATTATGAATATTACGCTTGATACACAAATCAATATCAAATTCTAATTCAATAATATAGACCTAAATAAGTATATTGAATTTATAAGAATACAATTTTATTATTAGACACTTCACAATTATGCTTAAGCGGATGTCAGAGTTCTATTTGTTTTCTCTATCTGATTTACACCCAACAGCAGAACCAACCCCGTGTTAAGAGGACGTCAAACCCTCGTGTATTGTCTCCGTCTTACACACATACGACATACCAAATTTTTGTCCACCAGTTTCAATGGTTTATATAAGAGTCAATTGACCTATTATCAAAGTTTTAGCTAAGAACATTACCTGTGTTCCCTTGTTGGTTTTTTGCAATTTTTTAATTGTTAATTGAGTTATGAGTATGTAAAATATTAATATTTGATTGATTAATAAAAGTAAACTGGAAATAAAACTCATGATTTACTTAAAAATTAAAATATTGTAGATACCAACGAGACCACACAGATAATGTTCTTGATAATATTTGAATTCACTCTAATATTTAAACAGCATACTATTGAAACTAGTAAACAAAAATTTGTTGTTGTATATGCACAATAGGGAGACAACACATATAGGTAAGACGTCTCGCTTAATAGTTTTAATATTAAGAGCGAATTCACTGATTATCACTTTCATTTAAGAACAATATCTGTGTCCCTACATTGGCTATTTTATGAAATTTAAATTTTTTATGTTAGTTAGAATCATGTAAATTATTGCAATTTAAAAATGCCTGTAAATTGTATACAAATTCAAATATTATAAAAAAGCCAAAGTAGGGGCACAGGTAAAGATCAGAGAGAGAAAACAATAGCGCACTGACACCATCTCAAATATTTCAACTATGATAATTTTGGTAAAAAAAAAAAATATTCTCAAAAAATGAGAATGTTATTAAATTATGTACCCATAGACTTTTTATTCCAAAACATAATCCAATAAATTTGTAGTAACATAAATATTTAACTAAAAATAAATTTTTTTTAAATTGGTCTAGATGAGCAGTATAAAAACTAGGAGTAAGTCAAACTTTTTAACGATAGCTGATACTTTGGTATATTAAAAAGCAACATTTTATTATACATCAATAAACTGATGTTAAATTAGACCTAAACCAATATCCGATAAAACTGATGTTGTATACTACTATATTAGCATTGATTATTAATAAAAATAAACTAATTAGTTATTACACATTCTTTATATTATTGTTTTTTATAGTAATTTTAAAGTTTTAACAAAATTAATAAAATAAAATAAAATAATAATAATGATATTAATAACAAATTGAAAATTGAAAAAAAAACAATAAATACATAGGAACTTTCTATAAATACTTATAAAATAAATAATAATAACAAATATATTATTATAAGTAATAAACATGGTAAGAAGTTCTAGGAAGTTATATTATTGAATTGTTTTTGTGATTTACTCATTGAGAATGTCAAAAAATTAGTAAAATTAGAGTTGAAATTCTTGGATATTCATCTGAGACGTTTATATATTGAAGTTAATTATTTTATTATTACCTAAAGAATTTCTTTAAATTTAATGAAGAAGCCATCCTGAAGATTTAAACTTCAATGACTTGATATTTTTTAAGTAGGTGCCAATCATTTTAGTTGAAAAAATTTTAGCTGAGCAAATTGTATGCAAAATTACGTTTTTTGTTTTTTTACAGAATCGGTTTTGGAAACAACTAATAATAATAAAACAAATATCACCAATATAAAGTATCGCTTTGAGTTATAGCCCATCCCTAAATAAATAAAACAACTTACAGTAAACCCGTTCATCCGAGAAATCTCTATTATTTCTTTATAATATGACACTTTATTATTAATGGCATCAATAATATAAAACGAAAAATAATTTTCCAAAATTTTTTTTTTAAATGCTTTTATAAAGGATATTCGGTATAAATTTTCATTTGCAGAATCATGTTCATATTCCATAACCTAAAAAGTAACAATGTATAAAATCAATAAAAAATAATTTGGTATTTTTTTCATTTTATTATTACCCATTATTAGTTTTTTGAAAAAAAAAAACATTAACTATATTAAATATAAATATTTAAAAAAAAATGTATACTATATAAATAAAGATACATATAAATACACAGGACTTAACCTAACTTTAAGATACACACAAATAAAATATAAAGTAAATTAATTTTCAAACATATAATGGTTATTTAAAAGTAAAAGCTGTTAAAATGATTTATAATGATTATTGAATTTTTGAGTCCCAGCTAAAACCAGTTATAATATACTCTTAACAACCAAAAAGCAAGTGTATATTTAAATTGGAGATTGCAGGGATTTAAATAAATCATTAAGGATTAAAAAAACTTTGTATGACACTACAACCAGTTTATAACAATTTCTATGTATATTACCTTTTTTTCCACTTTTTTATTGGTTTCAGGATCAATTTCCATTTTTGTTACTTCTGTCATGAAATAATCATCTAATGATAATATTCTCGGAGCTTGCCCTCCCATCGCTACTTCTTTCTCCTAAAAAAAATCATTAATAATTTAAATAACTTAATAATAAAATACAATAATATACAAACTTTGATTAGTCTTGCAACATGCGATTTTCCTGAACCAGGTAAACCTCTTAGTATTATAACTATTTTGGAAGGTCTATTAAGTCGACCAGGTGGACATAATAACGTCTCAATGGTTAATAACTGTCGATTAGATGATTTTTCAACTTCATTGATCTTAGACACTTTAGGAGGAGATGGTGCACACATATCTATTATATCAATTACAGGCTCTGGCTGTAATACAATTACAGGCTCCGCTTCCTTCACATCTTCATCCTCATCATCCAAAATAGTTATAGTATCAATTGTTATAGGAGTTTCTTTAATAATTTCAACAGTTTTGTTTTTATCAATATTTGATGAAATATCTAAAAATTATAAATTACGAATTTATTTTATTTTAATTCATAGTATATACTTTTATAAGATGTATCAACATATAATTACCATTTAAGCTGACTATGGGGTTTATAACTATATTTTCTTTACTTTTATTTAAGCCATCATCAGTATTATCTTGGATAAAATCTAAAACAAAACAATTTTTTTAAATCATGTCATAACGCATAACATTTCTTATTTTAATTAAAATTGTACTAAAATAACAGTGTATTCATTACAAATGTATAAACTGTTAGAAATATAACTTACATAATTTTAAAGCAAGCAATATTCATTTAAAAAATTAATTTCTCCGTCTTAACATAGATCATAGCAAATTTGCATTCAGTAAAATTTATTTTGTGTTGTTAGTTTTAATATTTGAGTGAATTTACCTAAGACCAAACTTAATGGTCAGAATATTTGTAATCTCTGGTTAGTTATTTAAGGTTTTTCAATTTTTAAACATGTTATGAATGTGTAAAATATAAAAATGGTTATAACTAGCATAAAGATTAAAGTATACTAAATAACTAAGGAGAGATATCACAGATAATATTCTTATCATTAAGTTTGATCATTAGTCAATTCACTCCAATATTTAACAACGCAAAATCGGTTCTATTGAATGAACATTTGCCATTTTTTTAGGTTTTTACAACACATACAGGGGGTTCTGGGGTCCTCTTAAGTGTATTGGAAGTGATGATTTAACATCATTGTCTAACATACATACTACATAGGAACTACTTAGATGTATACTATATCAAACAGTGTTGCCCATTACCTAACCTGACATATATCATACTTAAAGAGCGTATTATTATATTTTTAAGTTAAAATATGATTCTAATATGCTCTAAAAAACCTTATGTTCTTTTAAAAATCCTCAAACTGGTAAACCATGCTTTTTTTTACTTCAAATACTTAAAAATCTGTATACCAGTTACAATAGAAACATATTAAACCGTATGGTATAAGTTGACACTAAACTTTATAATTTTACAATATTCATGTTTACCATCTATTTATTGCACACCGTGTAATAATAGGTATGCTTAAACTTGAAAATAATATTGCATAAGTTTTCTTTGGTAAATTATTTAAATTCAGTCACACTTAAAACAATTACTATCATTTTTCATTTTAAAATTAAAAACATTTTTTTCTTTTTTTGATTAACAAAATATTTCAACTCAAAAGAACAAATAATACAATATAGAGTGAATATTTTTTAATCTTTAAAATATGTTATGACATGCAAAATACATTTTTTTCTACACATTCTGTACTGAATAAGTTGTGTAGGTTATTTATCAGGGTTGAGCTGCATAAGGCCAAAAAATATATGTAAAAACCTAAAATTCTGCTCTCTAACCTAGTAGATTTTTTAGACGGGAAGGGGTTCACCATAGAGTACTGCAAGGATCCCACTGTGGATCCAGAAATTACGTTAAAAAAGTAAAGATAAACGATTAAACATTGCATTATGTAGGTGCTGACTAAAAAAAGGGGGCCTATGGGCTTATAGGTACCACTGATATCAAATATACACATTGATTTACAGAAGTAATATGAATTGTGAAAACAGATTTGAATTTGTTAAAAAAGTCTATATAAGAACGACTTATCGACTTTTTTACATTTTTATTTTTTTTATTCTTTATTAATTTAACAATGTTGTATTATTTTTATGTTTACTAAATAAGTAAAAAAAAAACTTTGATCTTCAATTTTAAGGGCGTTTTCTGTAAGAAAATTGGATTGAATTGTTACTAAGAAAAAGGTGTACAAGTAGGTAACGCTCTGCTGTAAAGTAATTGTCGAGCATATCATTGTAAAAAATGTGTTCTTTAAGAATTAAATTATGAATAATTGCATAAAAAAAATACTTTTGATGACTTGTATAAATAAATAAAAATCTAAAATATCTCATGGCTATAAATAGAATTACTTTCTTTTGAACCTTTTGTTTTTTATAGAGTTAGAACCACTTTTGGGAATCTTCTGTTAAACGACTAATGTTAGCTATCAGCTATTAAATGAAAAACTTTTATAAATTTCCAACTGAAAAATTATTCACAACATTTTAAAAATTTCTCTAGGCTATAAATAGCTAAAAAAAAATGGTACCATATTCGGAAAATGCTAATATAAATTATAAATCTTTTTTCACTTTTTTTCAAGACAAAAAAAAATTACAGACATTCATTAACTCCCAGAATCTAAAACGGGAATTTTTATGCAAAACATGTTTTTGACATAAAATATTTATTTTTGAGAATGTGAATACTAAATGAGTAAAGAGATTCAATTCTGTGTTCAAAATAATTCACTGAATAAAACGTTTACTACTATATATACTCTTTCTTCTTTCATTTTTATACTCGACATTTTTTTAGTATATTTTGTTTTATTCTAGTTTGAAATAAAGAAAAAAATTTACCTTCTTGTTCAATTAAATCTCTGGTATGATTTGAATTTCTTCTACTATAACCTAAAATAATTTATGTGATTATTCTGTTGTTACAAATACTATTTTTATTTCAGTGTATTAAATAATTAGATAAAATAGAAATGGATGGAACACCAGTCTCATTCAATTTGTATTGAGTTAAAACAAATAAGTCTAGTTGAGGATCTTTTTCATCATGCAACTCATCTGACTTGTAAGAAGCCAATTATCAACTAAGCCTTGCCTGTGTGGGCTGAAGTGATTATTTCCAAATAGCGGTAAGTTAGTAGACGTAGTTAATATAGTTAAAGTAGGTACGGAAAAATATACCAGAGCTTATGGTAAAGTGACCAGCTCGACATTTCATGGAAGGCAATTGAAAAAGCCTCCCTCTGACTCTAAGAAAAATAATTATAGAACAATATTTTAGGGTTTTTTCAAGATTTCAACTTTGTTGATCAACATACAACTTAATAATTACTTTTTTAGTTATGCTCCATCCTTTCCTATACTATTTTATCATAATATAACCATTAAATTATAGCTTTACAAACCTCTATCTTGCCACGGTAGTATGCGTTTACCTCCATGTTTATAATCATAAATTCTAACGGGAACCACAGTTTCCTTTGATAATCCTAAGCATAAACATATAACAAATGTATATTTATTTGGTTAATATATAGGTATCAAATTTAACATTACCTGGAATTACTTTTAATGTAGGTAAATGACGATAATCAAATATTTTAACTGGATCAATTGGCTGAGCTTCTTCATAAAGTTGCTTTGTAGTTGGAAGTGAAACTATGGGATCTTCAATTGGTTTTTCATTTTTTGTGTAGTCCTCATCCCATTCCCGTTCCATATTGGCTTTATTTGTATTGTTACCAAAATTTCCTCTTGAATGTGGCCCATCTCTAAATGAGTTATAATTTCCCCTTGATAGTGGTCGTCCTCTAGACGAGTTATGATTTTCTCTTGAGGGTGGCCCACCTCTAAATGATTCATAACTTCCTCTTGAGGATGGCCTACCTCTAAATGAGTCATAATTTCCTCTTAAGGACGGTTCATTTCTAAAAGATTCAAAATTTTCTCTTGAAGGTGGTCCTCCACCTCTAAATGAATCATAATTTCCTACTGAGGGAGATCCATCTCTATATGATTCATAATTTTCTCTAAAAGTTGGTCCACTTTTATTTTGTTCATAACTATTCTTTGGAGATACAAAATTATTTTTATCAATAATAGGTTCATTAGAATACTCTCCATCATTATCATTTAAAAGTGGTGTTTCTATAGGAAATCTTTTATCCGTATTTCTTATACTTTTTTGAGGTTTAAAGAAATCATCTTCATTGTTTTTTAATGCTGGCATTTCTTGAGAATATCCTGGATTAATATTTCTAGAAAATTGGGAGTGTGGTCGGACATATTTATCGTCAGGATTTCTCAAGACTTGTGATTCTCTTGATTGACTTAAGGGTCGTGTATAATCATCATCAAAATGTCTTGCACCAGATAGTTCTCTAGAATAATGATTTTCATTGTACATATTTCTGTGTGGTTTATTTAAAAACTGTTCATCTTCATCATTTTGATCATCAAATGGTTCTGAACAAAATTTCTTATGTGCCTCCATATATTCATTTTCTGGATCATCTTCTTCTTCAACATTATTCCAGTTTCTTTCATATCTAATAAATTTAGAAATAAACATAATTTTATTATTTACTTATTTTTCACATTTTTAAATTTTTTTAAATTAAATATAGAATTTCATACCTATCTGCTGCATCATTCTGGGTTTCCGAGTAATTTTCAGAATTATCTAAAATATTAAAGAATAATTAATTGTTTTTCTAAAATTACTAAACAGTTGTTTAAGTGTGTATATTGTTAATTATAATTTTTTTCAATGGATTTCTATCTTCAAATTATAAAGGTTTTTGTTCTGTTATTTACTAAATTCATAAAATTTGTAGATGATACTATATTTAGTATTAATATTAATATATGTATTTGTCAAAATCTTCTCTTTTTTCATAATTTGTTATTGAATAGATTAAAATATTGTTTTAAAACAAAAATATTTAAACATGACAATATTTTATTAATATACTAAAAAATATATATTTTTTAAGATTAGTATATTATACAATATATAAATGCTTATTGAAGACACACAAAATCAGAGCAAGGCAGCAATTTGGATTTTGTTTTTTCCAGTTGGCTCTTATAAGTATAACAAGTAAAACCTAGTATGTATTACTAAGTATTAACTACACTCTGTTCAAAATAAGAACAGACCTTGGCAGCGGTCTGCAGCAATCAAATAGCCACAAGCTTAACATAAATTACAAAATTCAAATAGCATAGACTTGCTCAGGGATATTCAGAGTTTTCGAATAGTGATTACACTATGTAGTGTATTCAGTATAATATAAAATTGGTAGTATTTTATTCAAATTGTCTTTTAAAATAACAGTTTTTAAATTCAAATACACGGTTTCACGTAAAATGTAACAATTTCCAATTTACTTTTTTTTTACTAATTCCTAAATCTTTTAACATTAACTATTTGAAATAAACTAAAAACTAATTAATTTTCAATTCAATCCATTATAATATACGACTTACCTAGGGAAATGGGTTTAATTAAGTTCAGGCTTAATAAAGAGGGTGGCTTTGAAGATGATGTGTTCAAGCTTGGATTTGACTTTTGATAAGGAGTGTTAGAGTTCTCCGATTGTCTGCTGAAATTGTGAAAATCAGAAACATTTCCTTTTGTTTGGTTATAACCATGGAAATCACTTGATGATGATGTATTAAATTGTCTATTATATGGTTGCTCATCCGGAGATTTGTTATACAGTTTACTAGCTTCACTCGATGATTTACTATAAGATCCTTCCAATAATGGTCTTCTATAGTTCATATTAGAAGCATTTTGTGAACTATTATAATTTAAATTAGGCATATTTCCATCATATTGAAGTCTGGAATCAATATCAGTCTTTTTACCAAAGTTAGATATTGAAGTGTTATTATCGGGTGGTAACTGATTGTGATATACCACTGGATTATTAAACTTAGACCAACTAGAAGAATTTTGGTACATGGGTGGTTGATTCATTTTGTTATAAGGCATAATAGTTGGATTTGAGTTTAATGTTGAAGGGTTCATAATACTTTTGGGAAAATTAAATGGCTTGTCATCCGGGGTTTGAATTGGTTTAATTTGATTTTGTGGAAGAATCCTTGATACATTCAGAAATCCCTTTGTTGGATTTTCATTATTGCTAGCTAAATCCAATCCAGGTATTTGATTTTCAGAATTTGAATGTGTCATCAAATTATTATGCTACATAACAAAAAAAATTCATAAACACACAATATTATTTTAAGTTATTGAAATATTTTGAAGGCATAAATAAACAATTAAAAAAAAAGTAGGGAATTGGATATGGCTCTACTGTACAGTAGGTTCCAAGTGAGTCACTGTTATGGATGGAGTTGAATTTGAATTCAATGATAAAAAAATACTGTATACGAAAAACTATTCTGAGCAAAGCCGTCTGTTACTCTATAATATTACTAAGTAATTTAGTATATTTGATGATATTATTGTGCTTAAAGTAATTTATTTAACTAGCAAGCATTAGTACTACGCAGTAGATTTAATTCATTTTGGCCAAGAGAAAATACATATAAAAAGTCATTATGTGTATAAAATATAATAATATATTTTAAAAGTTACAAGTACCCACAAATAATATTTTTAATTTACAACAAAATAACATAAATCATCATTATTGGTTATTTAATATGTAATTTTGTCTACATTTTAACATTAAAATAAAAAAAATTTTGATTATATATTTTTGGTTACAGAATAACCTATTTGTGTGGAACTGTGGAACATTGTTTAACCCTTCAATGCCAAGTGTTGCATTTTTGCAACATCATTTTCAATGGGCCGTTGTAGGAATAGTTTACAATGTTTACATTATAAATACATATAACAACATCTGGCGGATAAAATATTGACTAAAGTATTGATATTGACCTTGCTTACTGTTATCAATTAAATTGTTTTGTGATTATTCGAAATCCAAGTTCAAAATCTGATAACATGTGATATCGCTTTTTTTTTCATTTTTCACATATTGATTTATTCAGTTTTGTACTTTTATTGGGAATGGAGTTATATTTAAATATATTTAGAAACATAAAGGTATCTATTTTCATTTTAATTAATAACCTAACCATATTTACTAGTTTTTAAGAAATTATGAACTGTTTTTTTCATGTTGCAAATCGGCAACAACGGGCGCTATAGGTAGTAAGGACTATTTGTATTATATATTATTGTTTTAGATGAATCATATTAGTGATGAGGAAATAGAAAACAATCTCTATAATTTAAATTGGAACGATAGTGAAGATGGTTCAGATTTATCTGATCTTGATGATATCCCAGACAGTAATGATTATTTTAACAATTTACTAAGTAGTTACTATAAAATATTATGATAGTTTAGATGTACAATAAAGGATTCTGCATGTTTAATATTTATTTTAATTTTTAAGACAATGTTGATGACAGTTTTGATATTCAGAATTTACCATTAGAAATTATTGAAGAGGATGGTCAAGTTATACCAATCCCTTCCACATCAATCGAATTTCGACCCATTGAGCTTACAGATAATGCAACCATTAGTCCAACAAATCTGCGTCCTAAAAAAACTAATAAGACTCCTACCATAGTTACCCAATACCCAATCAACAAACATTTGTCCTCCATTTGAAACTGTATCAAAAAATATTTCTTCCTTTCAAATTAATAATATAGTACATGAGACTGAGCAAATTAATGTATTGACAAGACCAAAAGAATTGTTGAATATAAAATGGAAAAAGGGTTCTTTTCAAAAATCAGAAACTATTTTACATGAAAACAACAAATTGCCCAATAATATTTCATCTACCTAGCTTCAACAAGGGCTTTAGCAATGCACCCAACTCGTGCTGTTAGAACTGATGGTGTTGGACATTCTCAAATAAGGGCAGATAAACGAGGAAGATATAAATTCCCAAAATGCAATAGATACACCTGGATACAATGTAATAAATGTGGTATTCTTTTATGCAACTCAAAGACTTAAACATGTTTTAATAGATATCATGATGAATAATCTGTGATTTTATTTCATTATTATTATTTTAAAAACTCTGTTATTGTTTTATAATTTATAAGTATTTCAAAAGTGATAAATTTATTTGAAAAGTTGAAGTTTTTATGTTAATTTTATTATTATGATGTATTTAATATTTCAAAAGTTGAATTTGTTGTTATTATAATATAATTATAATTATTAAAGTATTTTTTTTTTCAATATAAGTTGAAATTTATTAAGTACAAGTATATATGGTTGCTATTAATTATGACAAAAGTGAACTATTCGTGTAAAAAAAAAAAATGTATTATTAAAATTAATGATATCATTTTTGCCCACTGTTGCAAATATGCAACATACTTAAAACCTCAATTTTGAGTTTTAAAATGAGGTTTGTGATTTTTTCATTATTTTCCCTGAATTGCTAGTATTTTAATTAGTTTAAAAGATTTATTTACAAAAAAAAAAAATCAGGCATTGTAGGGTTAAAATTTTTTTGACTATAAAATTATTTATACATTTTTAATGATATGAATTTTGTCAAAATTCAAACTTTATTCGCTTATAAAACCTATCGTGTCCATGTATTTCTAATATTTTTCAACTGATTTTGTAAATATATATCAGGCACCTTGTACTAAATTTTCAAGCTTTTTGACCAACTTATATTTGACTGACAGTTATAGAAAAAAACTAAAAAAAATTGAAAATTGAAAATGTCTATACACAGCTCAAGACAAGCCAAAACATTTTGAATATTTTACTAAGTATATGAAGTGATAATGCAAACATATGATGTTAGTTTTAAGAATCTACAATTATTGGTTTTTGAATTACAACTAAATAAGAAAATCGCTAAAATTGAGAGAATATCCAATGTTGTAAAATGTCAACTTGAAACTCTCATAAAAATGTATTGTGGATTGACTTTGTTAAATTTCGGCTAATAACAACTTACAAGGAACCTTGGATAACATTTCAAAGATTTTTGACAAAGCGAACATTTTTTTTACCAACATTAGTCAAAAAAAAAAACAAATAATTGAAAATTTCATATGCCTATAAATAAATCAACACGAATCAAAATATTTTGGAAATTTAATGGTGTACATAATTCAGTGAACATTTTATGTATCTATGATATTTTTTTTTTGGAGTTCAACAAAAATCAAAATTGATTTGTCAAAAAACGAATTGCCGAAAAATTCCCATTTTCCTTTAATTTGTTGTTTGTTGTTCCTGCTACTTTTGAAAACAAATGGGAATTTTTTACACTAGACCCCTCAAAGTACTTTCCTACCAGAAAAGATGCTGTTGATAAAAATCAAAGCACTTTTACTGTCCCAAAATGTAATGACATACTCAAAAGAAATAAAAAAATACACACATTGTAAAATTAATATATTCATTGCTCCGCTCAGAATCTAAAATATAGACAGCGTCCAGTAATAGGAGATTATTCATGAAGTAGTGTAATAATCATTTCTTCTCTCCTCACTATTGATTGTTTTACAATTGTTTATTTTCATCAAAAACAAGTTAAACCTGAGTCAATAAAACCTAATGTTCCAGAAAATAATTTAAAACTATAAATTGAATAGATTTTTATATTTCCTAATGTATTTTACTTGTATACATTATAATTATTATACTTCACTTAGTCACATAACCCTGCATAATTGTGAAAATTTAATAATTACCGAATGCTGCAGTGAAGGTGGTGGTGGTGGTCCTAGAGGTGGTTCATTTGAATCATTTGGCATCATGGGATTGTAGCTTAATCTCTGTTGGGTTTGTAATTTATTTTCTTCCACTTGAATAGCTTCCTTCTATTATATATACAAAATGCATGCAATATTAGTGACAGTAATTTACAATAAATAACTTTGTTTAAATATTATTCAAAATTGAAGCAAGTATAATCAATATCATAGTAATAATTTTAATAATATTAGTCAGTAATAACAAGTTTACCTTTTTTTCAACTAATTTTAACTCCCTCTTTTTCTTTAGTACTTCACACTTCTGTTTTAAATTATCACGCCAATTTATCCATTTTTTTTCATACTCTAAATACTGAACCTAATAATACAAAATTATATCAGTATATGTTTAAGTAAAACTTGAAAAGACGATTAAATGTATTTTACTTTATCTGGATGGTTTTTGTTTTGTTCTTTCCATTTGAGAAATTGTTCTTCCCATGATTTAAACTGTTCTTCAAACAAAACTTCAGTTTCATCGTTTAATTCAATTTCTTTCTTATTATTGCCTATATCAATTTTTATTTTTTTTTCACTTTGAAATTCTGGTTCTAATCCTCGTTTTAACCCAACTTCATTATTTATGGTATTCTAATAATAACATTATTTTTATTACAAATATTGTTTTTGTCTTAAAATAGATATGCTAATTTTGTATTTACCTGTTGAGATTGATTTGTTACTGGTAAAGGTGGTCCTGGTTGATGGTAAGAATATTGTTGATTTTGAAATGTGATTGGAGGGGGTTGTGAAGGTGGTAATACTTGACTTGGAGGCATTGGAGGAGGTGCTGGTTGTGTGGTTGCAGGAGTAATTTGTCCAGTCTAGTAAAAATTGTGTACATAATATTATATCATACTAAAATAAAATAATGCCAATCAATTTTAAGTATAAATAAATTAAAGAATGTATACTTTCATGTCTGTTGGCAGTGTATATGATGCATTTATTATTTTAATTAAAATTATAACTGTATATCACCTAAACATTTACTAAACATAGTATACAATGAAGGTTATAGAAAAATAGAATGTTAGTAGTATGAAAAAACTATTAATTTTTAATAATCTATTAGTAAGACCCAAAGCACGTTTTCATTTTTTTTTCTTGAAATGAAGATCATGAATTATAAATACTAAAAAATATTTCAAATATAAAGCTACTATTTCAAGTAATTAGTGATGTACTAATGAATTATTTATAAATGCTTTAAAAAACTATTCTAGAAATACAATTTTGATAATTTATTTTTAAATTACAAACCTGTTGTTGCCATTGTTGAAATTGTTGTTGCCATGCCTCCCATCTTTTCCATTCTTGCCATTTTTGAACCATCTGAAATATAATAATAAAAAAACTTATTAACCAGTTTAAAAAACATTACATCTAACTTACAGCTGGATCTATTGCATTTGGTTGATGTGACTGATTTATCTATAAAATATAATATAATTTAAGCATTAAATAATATGTAGATATAGAAATAGAATGACATTTACCTTCAGTTTGATACATGTCATAAATTTAACTTTTGTAAAATATAAAATGTATGTTTAAATTACATGTTGTTATAGATATCCCGAAATAGTTTTTTTTTTACTATTCAATAAATGTATTTAAGAATGTTCAAAATGAATAGGTACCTAGTACCTACTTATAAGATAAGAAAGTGGAAAATAATTCAATTCGAGAGATTATCTAACATTACTAATACAGGAATAAGAGTACTAAAGCTAGCTAAATATATATATATATATTTAAATGTATACAATAGTTAAAGCAAAAGATTTCAACACAATTTTGGTTAACTTGTCTATATTTAAATGTTCTCTAGTTATGATTATCTACACATTGAATTTCTCTCACAACTTCTGTAAATATCATATCTTAAGTAAATTTGTTTTAAAAATAATATAGAATCATTATTATATTTTGTTTGAATACACACAATAAAATATGGCAAAAACCTACTGGTGCCCAAGTAAAAAAATTACAAGTAAAAAAATTCTGCAAAACAGGCCACCAAACATGAGGACTAATGTTGATACTTATCCAAGTTTTGGCATGTATAATATATTATCAGTGTTGTTTAGAGATACTTTCAGTAATTATTATTTGAGTAAGTAATTACTCAATAATTTAACAAAATACTATTTTAATAGGTACTAGTCAAATCTTAAATAAGGACCTAATAAATAAGTTAGTATTTATTACATATATTTGTCAACCCTGGGATACATAAAACAATGTTATAAGTTATGTTAGTCTTGAAGTTAAGTTTAAACCATACATAAATATGGAGACCAGACAAAAAATGTAATTATGGAGTAAAAGACCCCTCCCCCATTTATCAAATGTTTGAGTATGCTACTGTACTAGTAAACTAGTATATATATATGTATATATATATATATATAAACATAAATTTTATAAAAATTAAAATAAACGATTTTCTATCTTCGTTTATATTTTATTTTACCAAATGTATGTAAATGAAACGTAGGTAACATAATAAATGTAAGTTATAACATAACTAAATAACTATTACTTACAGAAATATTTTGCATAGTATTTGCACCATAAAATGGAAATGACTGCATATTGTTTTCATAACTGTTAACTATAGGCTTGGGAGCTGCAGGCGGTGGAACCGAGGTAGTCCACGGTGTTGGATACATTTTGTTTTACTTGAAATTAATTTAAGATATTAATACAATAATTAATATCATTATTGTCGGAAGATACTTACAATTATTATACTATATTATTATTATTATTGTAGCCTGCTAGTCTGTAACTTAAATATTTTAGATTGATAAGTATTTGGTTTGGTACTTGTATACAAATTAAATATTCAAAGTATACGTCATAATGTTTGACGTTTGTAAATGTAATAGAGGATTAGCTATGTAATTTCCATTATTCGTCATCCAAAATATCAAAATTTGGAAAACTTTTTTTGGCGAATACTGCCGATTGCCGAATAGCGATTTATGACTAAATAGTAAATATTAAACGAACGAGAATGAAAGATGAATAAATCCAATGTTTGTGTTTAAAAGTTAGATACCTATAACCACAGCCATCAGGATATTGGTTTTTGGTAAATATGATAACAGATAAGAATAAATAAAGGTGGGAGGCGGGAGCAGTAAGTCGTAGTTGCACAATGCCACAATATAATATGTGGATAAAATTATTATTATATTTATACTATTATACTCATAGACCTAATACTAAACATGACTAAATAATTTATTTAGTCATGATACTAAAGGCCTTATACTAGTTATACTAGAGAGCCTAGATAATATATTATACTATTTTTATTTACTAGTATAAAGTCTATGTATTTACCCACGGGCGTAGGTAGGAAATATTTTCGGAGGAGGTTTTTGTCTAAATCCTAAATAATATGCGAGTTAATAATATTCTCGAACAAATTCACAAAAAGCTTGTTTTATTTAATTTCGAGGGGTGTTTGAGCACCCAAACCCCCCCCCCTTACCTACGCCCATGTATTTACCAGATCACGGACTTTAGCGGTGGTGGTGTGCAGTAGTATTAAACATTTAATTATTTAAACAGCCATATTAGAGCTATTGCCTATTATATAATGGCTTAAAACCACGAACATCAAATAATCTCTAAAATCCTTTAATTTTGATGCTTGTTATAATTGATAAGCAGCAACCACAGACCACGAACCATTGACCATAAACAACCCACGTCTGTGGTAGCCAGTGCGAACTGCGAAGCACGGCCATTCTCACTTTTCGTGCAAGTCTTGAACAAAAAAAATTTACATTCCACTTTTTTGATCATCTAAATTCTAAAGCATGTAATGTCTTATATATGTTGAATATTTTAAATTAAAGTCTACGAATTAAATAAAAAATAGAACTTATGTAAAGTAGATAAATATTTTTTAATTTCTAAAAATTACAAGCGAGGTGGCGCCTCAGCCTCACTAGTCACTGGACCAAATGCACTTTACCACGCCCCTCACGAATTTCGACATTTTTTCCAAAATAATGATTTCAGCAAAAAATTCAAATTGTTTCGAAATCAGCGGTGAAAAACATATCTAACAAAAAAAATTTGAAATCTATGAGGGGCGTTGTAAATTGCATTTTAACCATAAATATTAAATAATATGTAATAACTAAAACAAAAACCATGCAGATAAAGTAAAAAACATTTAATCGTTTATTGACGTTTTACTTAAATATATACTGATGTAATTTTGTATTATTAGGTTCAGCATTTACAGTATGAAAAAAAATGGATAAATTGGCGCGATAATTTAAAACAGAAGTGTGAAGTACTCAAGAAAAAGAGGAAGTTAAAATTAGTTGAAAAAAAGATAAACTTGTTAATACTTACTATTATTATTAAAATGATTACTATGATATTGATTATACTTGCTTCAATTTTAAATTATATTCAAACAAAGTTATTTATTGTAAATTACTGTCACAAATATTGCATGAATTTATGTATATATAATAGAAGGAAGCTATTCAAGTGGAAAAAAATAAATTACAAACCCAACAGAGATTTCTACCATCCCATGATGCCAAATTATTCAAATTTAACAAATGAACGACCTCTGGGACCATCACCACCACTTTTATTATAGCAATCGGTATTATTAAATTTGCACAATTACGCGGGGTTATGTCTTATGACGTAACTATGTAAGGTATAATAATTATATTGTATAAAAGCAAAAATACATTAGGAAATATAAAAATCTGTTTCAATTTTTAGTTTTGAATTATTTTCTGGAACATCTGTTAAATATTAGGTTATATTAACTCAGGCTTAACTTGTTTTTTTTGGAGTGTCACTTGAAGAGACATACTACAAGAAGGACAACGAGAGGACTAGCGGTGGACTGTCGGTCGTCGGACCGGGATGCCATTTGGCCTATCGGGGGGGGGGGGAGGACGTGGACCTTTGTGATGACCGGATCACGTTCTCATTGGGCCTTTGCGACGACGGCTTGGCGCGGTATGCTATAGTTATATATGCAGCCGAAAGCTGATCAGTCGCCGGAGATAAAGGATGAGCTTGACGCCGATGAATTTAAAATATGGCATGCAGTGACACTTGCAAGTTGCAGCAGCCACAAACACTGCATATGATCAAAATCCGCAGGACGAGTTTGAAGATCAGCCACCGACAAACGACCACTGAAAGCCTATGTAATAGACATGGGCGGGCACTGTTTGCTCACTCGTGTTCAGTCTGTGGTTGGGCAAGTGGCCAAGCGAAACGGACTAGAAAGTCAAATTTTACTAGCATACATTTGTGTCATACCTTTATTAAATAACTTTTAACTTTATAAAGTTATAATAGTTAGAGTTAAAAAAACTACTTATTTGTGTGTTTATACTGAAATTCCAGTTTTTGGATATCATAGTACCTAACATAATTACTTTGACTCGATAAGATAAACATTTTATTTTATACTACCTATTATTATTTATTAGTGAATCTAATATTATACTTTTATCGTTAATATTGAATTGACCGTACTCCTTACAGAGTACATGATGAACATTAGTTGGTCTGATTAGAGCTCAGTCCAATATTTGTCATTGAACGACATTTAAAATATTAATATTTAATTTTAAGATTTAAAGTTTTTAATTTAAATTTTGATTTTGATTTTTGCGCAATGGTGTACACAAACATTGAATATGCAGACATGGTTTTTATGTTGGATAAGTACTAGTTAATTTAATTAATTAGTTTAAGTATTTAACTAACATCACCCATTGGTGATTTATTTTATTAAAAACTTTAGTTATTTTACTTTATCACAAGATATACCCGTGTAACTATTTTAAGTTGTCGTTACCGACATGTTGTACGAAACAAACTATTTATTTGTTTATTAATTGTGACTAGGTTTAGCTGATGGAAATAGAAATCTTGCAGCTAGGTTCTAGGCAGAACGTAAGTAATGATAATAGTATAAAATAAAATGTTTATCTTATCGAGTCAAAGTAATTATGTTAGATACTATGATATCCAAAAATTGGAATTTCAGTATAAACACACAAATGGGTAGTTCCTTTTATCTCTAACTATTATAACTTTATAAAGTTAAAAGTTATTTAATAAAGGTATGACACAAATGTATGCTAGTAAAATTTGATCGTATTTAAAACTCTGTTAACCCTAATTTTGTTATTATTTCATATTTTTTATTAGTCGACAATGTAAAACAATGTGTTAATTAATCGTGTATTATCAATGACAACAAATAATTATCACCACTGATTATCTTGCAGTATTCTCATACAAATCGATGTGTTGCACGACTTTTTTTTAGTTGGCGATTCGAGCGTGAAAAACGCGCGACAAGCGCAAAAATGATGTGATATCTCGATTCGTATGAGAATTTTGCAAAAAATACGACTAGAGTGTTTATTTTTACATTCAAGATAATATTCTCAAAATAATATTTAAAAAACCCAGATTTTGAAGTTAGAAAAAAAATTCCAAAAAAATCTTCATTGTGGCATCACAGTGAGTATGCGTATACCAATTACCTCACACACTTCAGAAACACCCTGTATAAAGGTATATCGATTTTTTTAGAAGCGTTTTTCAGCACTGCTTCTTAGTAATTTTTGTGCATATACCTAATATATTTTATTATTACACTTTTTTTTTCTAAACCGTGTTTTTTTCTTACGAGTCCCTAGCCCCATGTCATGTAATGCTATTTTTGCTTCAACTATCTCCACTTCCTCTCGGAATTTGATAATTAGCTTTCAAATTGTTTTATGAGTTATGATTAGGCCCGACTAATTGCGTGAACCTATTGTTTCAGCTTTCGCAAATATTATTTGTACGGTATCTGGAACCTGGAGTGTAATGTACTAATAATGTAGTCTCATCATGTACGGTCCATTTCAGGTGGATACAATGGTCTGAATTTTGAAATCTCTAATTTTCTGTATGTTCCAATAACATAAAATATTTGCATCAAAATAGTCAATTATATCTGTATTATCATTTATCAAGTGTATGAATTGATTTCAAATACTTCATACCTTCAATCACTTTTTGTACAGTCAAAAAAAGCAAGCCATCGACCATATTATACAATAATGACTAAAGACGTTCTCATTATTATATACATTTATTAATCCTAACAGCTAACGCTAGTAATTTTCTATGTGAGCTTTTGCTTTAGCACAAATGATAAAAACAACTTTGTATTATTATTATTCAATAGTCAACAATAGTGGCTTTTGCTGCTTGGGTTAAAGTTTGTTCGAAATCCATGTTCATTATCTTAGGGTCGGGATAAACTTTGTTTCTGGAACATTTATTGAGAATTCATGCATACAGAATCATAAATTTTAATTCTAATAAAATATAACTGAACAAAAATTAAGGACCCACTTTAAAGTTTACATCTCAGAACCTCGTATCTGCCTCTGACAAATCAACTAACCCTATTCGTCCAATGAAAAAATAATTATTCGCTCATTCGATCTCGGACCACTGTCATAAAGTAAGAGTCGTTTGTCTTTTTACATTGCCCAATCATTTGAATAATAAGTTCTGACAAACAAGATGGTTTTATGACGATATTAAAGCATGTTTAAACATCAACTTGGCTTTTTCGACTATATGTCTATACGTCATATCACCAGCATAATGGTAGCATGCGATTCTCATCATGCGAATGGACAAACTCAATTATTATTATTTATTTCATATGGATTTTTGTAATTTAATTAAATGTTTTTAAACTTGTTGTACTAAAAATGCATTTTTTAAACTTTTTAAGCTTTCTATTGGAAGTTACTAGAATTGCCGGAAATTTTTTTGAAATTGTATTAAATCATTTTCACCGAATATTCGAAACGAGTTTATGATGAACCGTATGTGCATATCATTAAAAACAATATTTTATTTCCTTTTATTAGAATAGCCTTCATCTCGACTAAACGTCTCGCGAATCGTGATACACTGACTAAGTGACAAATTTAATTTACAATTCACTACCGGGACGTCCCTCATGAGTCATGAAATCGATTATATCGA